TTCACCTAGATATAGCTTCGAGGGGTTTTTTTTCTTTCCAAGGGGGAAGTACCTTACACTTATCCACATTGAACTTTATCTGCCAATTTTTTAGACCAAGACATTAATTTTTTCCCAAAACGTCCTGGAGTTCATTGATACCTCCCCAGAGTGAATTAAATCCCTAAATTTGTTTTATCAGCAAATTTACTCATGTCACCCCTAAACCCCCATCAAGGTCCCTTAAAGTAAAAATTTTGAAAAAGAGAGGGGCCCAAAAATGATCCCTTTTAAAAGCCCCTAGTGACCCAATCCCCATTCAGATTTCACTCAATTAATGGGGAACTCTGTTTTCTAAATTTGGGAAGCCCCCTGCCCAAAACCATGCTAGAACTTTTCCTCCATAAGGGGTCTGGGCAAAAATTAAAAAGAATAAAAAAACATTTGGGAATAGGGGGGAGTTGATGAGTGGAACGGTCTCCTTTGTTGGGTTTATCGGGAAACTAAAAAAAATTGGGGGTTTTTAAATTTAAAATTTTGGTTAGATAAATACATGAAATGAGAGGGGTTGGGTTTGAGTGGACTTGCACCCGAGCTTTTTGCTTCGGGAGCATTTTTTTCTGTTAAATGGGTTGGATTTTTTGAAGGACCGGGCCCCATATGGGCCAACGGCTTATTGCAAATGTTCCCCCTTTTCCGGGTTTTAAAAGTATTGGGTTTGGGGAGTTTCAAAATTTTGGTTTGGGTAAAATTTTCACGAAATGAAAAGGGGTTTGGGTTTGAGTCGGACTTGCACCCGAAACTTATTGCCCTTTGGGGAAACTTTTTTTCTGTTAGTGGGTTGGATTTTTGAAGGAAGGGCCTTTTAAAGGGGCCCGCAGGCCTGTTTCCCGTGTTTCCCACTTTCTTAATTTCTTATTTAACATCACACTTACGTGTGATGAAAGGTTTTGAAAACCCACAAGTTAAAATTGGGGACACTTTGCAACCCAAGGGGAAACTTTTTTGAAAAAACGTTTCGCCAAAAAACAGTGGCTTCATCAGTCCCCAAAACAAAGTAGAAATGGGTAAAGGAGAATAGAAGTAAGAGGTAATCAGTCCCCCAACCCGGATTCGTTGTGCATTTCCCTCACCAGTAAAGGGGATCGGGCAAAGGGCCTTTGGGGACTTTAAAAAGAGATTGGACAAAAATACGGTTTGGGGGGAGCTGAGTTTGTTTGTGTCAAAGGGTACGGGAAATAAATTCTTGGGTGCCCTTTTGGGGAAGGGGGTCATTTTGAAAAGGACCTGCCTTGTATGGGGGCCCGTTTGACACTTTCAGTGTTCTTCCATGGTTATGTTCCCAAATTTGGGTTTTTTGTTTTTGTGAGGGGGGGGGTGGCAAATTTATTGTTTGGGGAAAATGACACTAAAAATCAACTCTATTGGCTTTTTATCTATCCAATTCAAACTAATATGACAAAATTTAAAAAAAATTTAATAAAATAGAAACAAGGAATATACTCCCAGAAAAGAATAAGGAAGTCAAATTAAAGATATTAAAGAGAGGGGTTGTGTTGTGTTGTTTTTGGGTAAAAAGGGCCACGGGGTGTAAACCGTCCAAAATGGTGGGAAGCCCGCAGCGGAAATCGGCGGGGTTTTTTTTGCCCCATATAACTCCAACAAAAATTGGGGAGTTGGTTAAAAATCACTGAATCACTAAAAAGGGGGAACCCCAAAAACCATCACTACGACCTTCTACCCCTATAAAAGTTAAACCCCATCACTACTACCCTTTTACCACCATCACTATACCCCCTACCACCTTTACTACAACCTTTTTACCACCATCACTACCCACCTTCTACCCCCATCACTACCCCCCTTTCTACCACCATCACTACCACCAAAGAAAGCTTCTAGTGCCAGCCCTTTGGTAAAGAATGTGAGAAACACATAATTTATGAAAAAGTTTGTAGAAAAATACAAACTTTTTCATAAATTATGTGTTTCTCACATTGTTTACCAAAGGGCTGGCACTAGAAGCTTTATTTGGAGCCATGGTAGCTTATTTAGCACTTGCAAGCACTAAAATCAATGGAATATTATGAAATATTTCGTAGGAGCATGCGAGGGGACCGTCACTCACTGGTAAACAATGGCACACTGGCTGGGAAGGAAAGGCCGAGGCGGCTCAGAGCGTGAGTACGCGTCCGGGACGAAGGACTATTAGGACTATTAGCGAGTTACCGGACCATTTGCGAGCCAATATTTTGACGAAAAAAAAACAGGACTATTTCCGAAATGGACGACTTTCAGGCCGGACGATTATTGAGGGACCACTGTATCAGTAAAAAATACAATATTTTACTAGCTTACGCACCATAATATAATTACAAGCTATCCAGGAAAACATGGAAAACAAAACATAAAATTACGAGAAAAGTTTCTCAAAGTTCTGGGCAAGTTGTTATTGTTGTGTTAAAGGCGTGATGACCCCTCAGGGTCACTATCTCACTGCTGTGAAATTTACTACTAGAATGCTTTTGAAAATATAAACTATTAATATATATTAATAAATTTATTGCAAAACAGGACTATAATAAAATTATTTCCCATCCATTTTCTACAATAAAAGTAACAGCACAGGAGAGGATGGGTCAAAGGCTTGAGCACTCGTAGCCCTTAACACCACCACCCTCATACACGTCACAGTTTCTTTATTACAAGATACAAGTGTACAGAGTAAACTAATGCACAAATATATATGAATTAGGTACTGTATACACATTACATCCAGGTTCATTTACAGCGGACCCTCGACTAACGATTTTAATCCGTTCCAGAGAGCTTGTCCTTAGTAGAATTTATCGTTAGCCGAATTAATTTTCCCCATTAGAAACAATGGAAATCCAATTAATCCGTTCCAGACAACCAAAAGTATTTAAAAAATATTTTTTTTACATGAAATACACATTTTCCTACACAGAAAACAATGAGACATGCACAATAAATACATAAATAAATAATAAAATGACACTTACCTTTATTGAAGAGCACTGATGAGTGTCGAGACACTTTCTTGAACACTCTGGGACTTTCAGTGATACATGTGTAAAGGCTTCACTTTGCAATCCCCACTAGCATTACAACAAAAGATGAGTTAACCTGTCTTTCATAGGCTTGTGTCCTGGACGTGCCTTTTCCTCCTAAGTAATGTAGGTCCTGTTTGGCATTTTCTTCCAGAACAGGCCTGTTTCCTCACAACTGAACACTTGTTGAGGTTGGAATTTTTCAGCTTTGCCATGCCTTATCACACTGTGTATGCTACTACGATTCTTAAATCTCTCAAACCAACCTTTGCTGGCCTTAAATTCACCAATATGAGCACTAGTTCCAGGCATTTTTTCCTGTTCACCTGGGTGTTAGTCGACTGGTGTGGGTCGCATCCTGGGAGACAAGATTAAGGACCCCAATGGAAATAAGTTAGACAGTCCTCGATGACACACTGACTTTCTTGGGTTATCCTGGGTGGCTAACCCTCTGCGGTTAATTGTTTCTCGTTAAGCCACACCAACAACACTCTCTCCACATCTTTGAGTAGTACAGCTGACGGTGATGCAGCAGCAGCAGCCGACGGTGATGCAGCAGCAGCAGCCGACGGTGGTGCAGCAGCAGCTGGCAGTGGTGCAGCAGCAGCACCTGACAGTGGTGCAGCAGCAGCACCTGACAGTGGTGCAGCAGCAGCACCTGACAGTGGTGCAGCAGCAGCACCTGACAGTGGTGCAGCAGCAGCACCTGACAGTGGTGCAGCAGCAGCACCTGACAGTGGTGCAGCAGCAGCACCTGACAGTAGTGCAGCAGCAGGACCTGACAGTGGTGCAGCAGCAGCACCTGACAGTGGTGCAGCAGCAGCACCTGACAGTGGTGCAGCAGCAGCACCTGACAGTGGTGCAGCAGCAGCACCTGACGGTGGTGCAGCAGCAGACGTTGGTGCAGCAGCAGACGGTGGTGCAGCAACAGCTGACCGTGGTACGATAGTATTTCTCACCCTTTTTACCACAGGGTTGGCATTAGCTGTTTTTGGGCCCATGGTGGCTTATTTAGCAGTTACAAGCACTAAAAACAATGGAATAATATAAAATATATTGCATGTATGCGTGGAACCGTCCGCCCTGGCTTGTAAACAGTGGCAAACTAGCTGAACGCAGAGCAGCCGAGGTGCTCAGGCTGGACGGACAGGCGGACGTGTTCGGGACGAATGTTTTATCAGTTTTTCGTTGTTGGTCGAGCCAATATTTTTATGCAAAATCGCATCGTTACCCCATTTTATCATTAGTCGATGCCATCGTTGGTCGAGGGTCCAATGTATTTTGCAAAGGAAGATAAGCAGAGGGTATATAAACACTGGGAAAGTCTCTCATGGACATGTACAGTTCGTGTCTGTCCTCTCAATTTGTATATAAACATCGTCTCCAGCAAGATTATATTTGAGCACAGATGATGCAAATATGAAAACAGCATGCACTGACTGGTATGCAGGAATCAACTAATTCAGGAAATTCACACTATGCATGATAATTTTACAAGAGCGTACCTATGCCTAAAGAAGCTTACACAAACATAGGTCTGAGAATTGCATGGGACACGTACAGACCAATGAGATGCAAGAGGGGGTACTGGGGAGGCAGGGGAAGCTAGGCCTCCCCCACAGAGACAACGTCCTGACACACAGACAGGCTGCCCATGAGCAAGTTAGATGGATGGAAAAAACTCCTGTGTTCCATCTCCCAGCACTTCAAATTTTTCTCCTACAAGATGCACAATTGTTGATGAATTTCACGGAATACTCATAGACAACATTCCATAATTTTGCATTAGTGTAAAATCGAATGTGTTGAAGGGTCAAGTCTTAATCAACGGTCTACTGTAATAATAATAATAATCGGAAGAAGAATAAGAGACTAGTATTGTTATTTGGACCAAGAGAAGACTAAGATTAGTGCCGTTACTTGGACCTGGAGAAGACTAAGACTAGTTACCTCGACCTGGAGAAGGATGGATCACGTGAACGCTGATGAATGGGAGATGTTCCGTTGTTCATACTACTGCCACCACCTGGAGACTCGCTCATACCTGAAGTGTTCAGGAAATATTCAATAATGTTCATGTTCCCAAATAATAAATGTTTACACATTTATAAATGTTCATACATGTTTACAGAGGGTGAGAGCAGCAAGTGTCTATTAAGTTTCAGGATCCAATAAACAGAACTACGTAAACTTTGTAGTTTCCTAATGACTGACATGCTGAATACAAGTACACAAATACTGTCACTCTCTCAGCTTTTGCAAAAATACTGAAAAAAAAAAGTCATAATTTTAATTTATTTGTTTTCATTCAAGCTTGAACAGAGAAAAACTGTTGAAGACAGATTAACACACAATAAAATTTGTGATGGTAGCAATATTCTACAAGTGTTCTATCAAAGTTTAAACCACGAGTGTCTATGTTTTTGTTACCTTGTACATAAATCATGACATAGCTGTTAAAGAAATACAAACATAAAACAAATGCGCTAATTGTGTAATATTGACAAAGAGCCAGGTAAGCTGGTCATGGACTTCTCTTGGTAACACTCTAGTCTAGTGCTATCAGCCATTTAACCCTTAACCCCTTGACTGTTGAAACCCCAAATCCTCAGGTGTCTCCTGGTGTCAAAAAATTTTTGAGGAAAAAAAAAAATATTCTAATGAAATGATAGAGAATCTTTTCCCGATGGTAATGACACCAAAAGAACAAATTTTGATGGAAAACTGATGGAATTATGCTCTCACGAAGTTAGCGGCCTTGGCGATATTTACGAATTGGCGATTTCGCCCACTTTCAGCCCTATTTTTGGCTAATTCCGCTGTTCCAGTCGACCAAACTCAGCTATTTCTTTAGAACTCCATTTTTTCTATTGATTGAGTACAAGAAAATGCCCATTTACCAATTTCAACTACCCAATAACATGGTCAGAAATTTGCAATTTGGTCAATTTCAGGAAAATTAAAAAATATGACAATTTCAAAATAGGGTCCAGAATGAACAATGCAGACATTCCTGGCTCTAAAATAACATTTTCTTTGTTCATCAGTCATGTCTCCAGACCCCTCTGATATTACTCTTGCTTTCTATTTTGAATTTTTATTCAAACAAAAAATAGATTTACTGTTATGCAGACTACTGCAATATTGTAATAATTGTATAAATAACATCAACCCATTCATGACTGCATATTAGAATGGCTAGTTGGACATTTACTCGACAATGACATCATGTGTTTACTTTTGAACATCGGCAAAAATCAAACATTTCCCCTACTTGAGCTCCATTTCAAGGCTCTTCTTATAGCAAAACACGGTCGGAGCTTTTTTTTTTCTCATTATGCACTACGTGCTGTAGGATTTTTTTTATATGGTGCACACTGACCCATTCTCTCACGTGTGAGCCTACCAGCTTTCTCCTGCTTGATTTGAAGCCGCTAGAATTTATGAGTATATATACGTCAAACACATTGGCTCGTCCAAACGTAGATCTACGTTCACTCGCGTGGCACTCCGAATATTTTGAATAAAAAATTATTTTTTTTCTTTTAAAAGGAAGAGCACATTTTTCTACATGTCATAGGACCAAAAAAAAAAAATTTAGGGTCAGTACTTACCAAGACACAAGACCGTGAATTTGGCTCTGGATGCTCACCTGACGGCAACATCGACTCCTGCCGCTTGCAGAAGTGTTGCCGATATACCTTTTTTTCTCTTTTTTATTTTAATTTATATATTTTTTATGTTCTGATAATTACAATCTATAATAGTTCTTGTAATCTCATAGCCAATCTTTGTTTTGACACTAATATTAGGTACTGAAATAGTACTCAAACAGTCACTATCACATTGACAGGTGAACATTTACACCTGCAAGGGTTATTTACTGTCTAGAAATACTACACAAAGTATTTATAGGTCCCAGCAATGTTTTAGATACCCTGGGTATACCTTGAAGCACGTTGTTATGAAAGGCATCCCTATACTGTTGACAGCCCAGTGACATCTGATAAATGCCCACTGCTCCAGCTAACCCTCGCTGTATTTATCACTGTTACACACAAACATGTCTTGCCTCTGTCTATTTATCTGTGTCTATCTGCCTGTCTGTATCTGCTTATCTGCCTTTCTGTCTGCCTGGAGTATATGTATATCACACTCCTTGAAGAATCGCGTTATGACATCTGTACGAGTCGTTGGTGACAAAATTCCAGCATGTAAGTCTAGATGCAGCCCCGGCTGTAAGAGTGCGTCTCATAGACGTCTCTCGACATTTTACATGGGTGAAGTTGCGCAACATCCCCTTCGAGGCTGACGAGGCTGACGTAAGGAACGTGTTTGAGGCGTATGGTACCGTGCATCTGGCAACCCAAGGCAAGTGGGTGGCAGGTGCATACATGGGATGTCCGGAGGGTACTTTCTCCCTCAAAATGACACTCAGGCATCCGATCCCATCTTACGTTGTGATGAAGGAGTTCCGGACCCAAATTCTTGTGTCTTATGCTGGGCAACGACGTACGTGCAGGCTGTGTGGGGAGTACTATCACATGGCGGCGACGTGTGTGCAACAGAGGGGGATGGCGCAGACTGGTGGGGCACCAGTTACAGGTGTGGATGCCGTCATGGAGAGTCCCACGGGCAAACGAGGGAGTGGCCGTCTGTGGAGTGATATAGTTGAAGATACCATTGTGGTGAATGATGGGTGTGCCACAAGTTCTGTTGAGCCAGAAATGGCCACTTTGCCGGTGACGGGGGAGGAAGTGCTTGTGCAGCAGGAGGTGATGGCGCTGGAGGAAGAGCTGGACGAGGTTTTGAAAACTAACTAAATCTGGGGAGGAGGACGCCCCTGTACAGGAGACCGCCACTGAGTTGCAAGGAGAGTGTCGGGACGTGCATAGGAAGGAAGGAGGAGATCAGCAGGCACAGAGAGGAGTCACCATGCTCTGTGCAACATGAAACAGTGGAAGTTGAAGTTCAGTGCGAGGAATCCTCGGAAGACAGCATGGCAGTGGAGGGCGTCACGAGGAAGAGAGCGGCGGCGTCAGACTCAGATGACGTCCTGACGCCAGCACAGAGGTCTGGGAGGAAGGATGAATATTCTCGAGGTAGCCAGGATAAGAGGCATCGAAAGAAGGGGGGCGGGGTGGATGGTGTGAAATCATGTGTTGACCCTGGGGCAGGAGGCCCTGGGAAGGATGAGAGGAGGAAGAGTTGGAAATTTTAAGAAGGCCTTAGGTGTATGACTGTGAATGTGAATGGACTGTGTAACAGAGTGAAGAGGGAATGTTTTCGCATGCTCCTGTGTAAATATAGAGTGGACGTCATATTTCTACAGGAGCATAATTTCAGGGAGGGAAGAGTGCTAGAGGTGGCAGGGTTTAAGGTTTTGACTCTGCCATCTGCACATTTGAAAGGTGGTGTGGGCTTATTGATAAAGGAGGCGAGCCTGTTTGTGTTGATACGAAGTGAGGGGGGAGGGGGGAGGGTGTTGCGTGTGGATGGGTGGTGGATGGAGCAGAGGGTAACCTTTGTAAGTGTGTATGCGCAAGCGGAAAACGATATGAAAGTAAAGAGGGATTTTGTATGTGATCTAGTTTTCGCCTTACGTGGTATACCTGCGGTGGCCATCGTTGGGGGGGACTGGGATTGTGTAATTAGGAGGGCTGATGTGGAACCACAAGGGGTGGGGCACATGTTGGCAGCCTTACGAAATCTCTTGGTGGATGTTCAGTTGAGGGATGTGGTAGGAGGGGGGGCGTGGGAGGTAGAGCATACTTTCGTGAGGGGTTACGCGGCTAGGTTAGATAGGTTGTACATATCTCACGGAGTTTTGTCCAAGTTTGTCCGTACAATAGAAGTAGCTTTTTCAGATCCTCGGGCGGTAGTGGCAGAGGTGGAGTGGGAGTCATTAGCTAGTATCTCTAGGGGATACTGGAAGTTAAATACGAGTGTGTTGGAAGATGAGGAGGGGTTGGAGGGTTTTACAGCACTGTGGGAGGGGTTAAGTGAGGAGGTAAAAGGGGTGGAGGATGTAGTGACGTGGTGGGATGGTGTGGCTAAGGAACGGATTCGGCATTATTACGTGCGGGAAGGGGAACGAATCAATTCTTTAAAATATGGGCTCATTAACTATTTGGAGGACAGGTTAAGGGGTTGTTATGTAAGGAGGGCGGTGGCGGGTACTTATCCTATGGATGACATTATGGTAATTAACCCTTTGAGGGTCGACAGGCCCTCTCCGAAACTCGTTCTCAGGGTCGGCCAAATTTAAAAAAAAAAATAATTTTCTCTTATGAAAAGATAGAGAATCTTTTCCCGATCATAAGGACACCAAAAGTTTGAAATTTGATGGAAAACTTACGGAATTATGCTCTCGCGAAGTTAGCGGTCTCGGGGATATTTACGCATCGGCGATTTTGCCCACTTTGAGCCCCATTTTCGGCCAATTCCACTGTACTAGTCGACAAAAAACATGAATATTTCGCTAGAACTCCATTTTTTCTATCGAATGGGTGGCAAGAAACCACCCATTTATGAAATTCAACTATCCAGTACAGCGGTCAGAATTTAGCAATTTTCCCAATTTCATACAAATTTCAAAAGATGCCAATTTCCAAATAGGGTCCAGAATAAACAAGAAAGACATTCCTGGCACTAAAATGACATTTCCTCTGGTCATTGGTCACGTCTCAAGGCCCCTCTTATATTCTTTTGCTTTCCACTTTGAATTTTTATTCTCACAAAAAATATAAGATTTACTGTTATGCAGACTACTGCATTAGTGTAAAAAATGGTATAAATATTAGTGGCGCACTTGTGAAAGAATATTAGACTCACCAGTTGACGTGTATTGGACCACTGGCACGATTTGTTTACTTTTGAAATTTGGTAAAAATCGAACATTTCTGCTACTTTGAGCTCAATTTCAAGGTATCTTTCATTGTAAAACCAGTCAAGATCACTTCAATTTCTGTAATATGTCTTCCATTCTATAAAATGAGACCAAGAAAACTAGAATACAACAATAAATACCATACGAAAATACAGTGCAAAGTCGCTGTTTTATTCCAAAAAAAACGGTCAAAGTTTTTTTTCTCATTACGCACTGTGTG